AAAAAGGGTGTGGGTATGCCTTCGATTCAAACTGAACCCATACTAAATTCATCATATTCTTTCTCTATTCTTTGTCATCTTTCAATAATTTGAGCCGTCTGTTATTAATTTGTTTCTCTTCTTTTGCTGATTCATCATTTTCCATCCTACTAAACTTCTTCGGATCTTGCAAAATTTAATTGACTTCATCTATATAATCACTTTTGTCCATGCATACCACTTCATTTTCAGTTCTATTAGTGTGATGTGTTCTTCATCATTTAAATTCGCAATGTGTTTTTTTTTTCTTACTGTTTGGATTAATTCATTGGCAACTTTTTTTAATTTGATAACATCATGATTCACAAGAGACGTTTTCCTTATCTGTCTCATCTTTGATTTTATTAACCTGTACTTAATGTCTGTTTGTATAACGAAAGATTCAATGACATTCTCTTCTATGCAAAGTTTCTTGCCTCTGCTGAGTAATATCAATTGTGAAATACTAAGCAATTTTGACAATCAATTATAAACGAGTTTGCCCTGGAGGAGGAAAGGAGCTCGCGTATGATCACCTACAACACCAAGTAACATAGAAATTTTTGCCTCACCGTGGGACATACGTTGTTCCACCTATTTTCCAATAGAAAAAAAAATGTTTATCTTTCCTTAAAGTATTATAACCTGCAAGGTAAACGATCGTCCCATCTATCATCTCATATATATACTTTCTCTCTTTCGTCCTATCCTGTAACGTGTTCTTATATGCTCTTCTTTTTTTTCTGCTGCAATACACTGACTTCCTGGCATCAACCTCACTTTCCTTGATTTATTATCATCAGGTTTTATACAACCATTCTGAGCCAAATACAATAAACTGATTGAAGAACCAATTTTGTATGGAACAAAATTTCGTTCTCGACAGGTTCCAATACGATTCAGTTCTTTTCTCAATTTAATCAGATTTCTTTGTTCTTTCAGGGGATTCAATAGAAAGTAGTTGTCACTGAAATTTCTTCACTTGAGGAGATGAAGCAAGATATTTATTTGCACACTTAAATCTAAGAAATGTAGCGGCTAATCCATAAACGAGACACATGCATAAAAATTTAATGTAGCACTAGGCTCTTGATAATTTCATTGTCAATCACTCATCATGTCTGAATCTTCTTAAAGTACATTCGCCATACTTTCTTCCTATACAGCTAATCAAGTTTGAGTTGGCAACAGAATTATTAATAAATTGAAAGATAAAAAAATTAGACATTTTTCATTTATTTATGTAGTAGCTTTCGACACTGCTTGTGTGATCATCAGTTTAAATAAAAAGATTTTACAATAGAAAATAAAGCCCAAAGCTAAATGAATCATTACAAATCAAATTTTCGCGTGTGCACGTACCAGTGTATATTTTATCATTGCAATAACACGAGATTCAAAGGTAAGGTGAAAAGCAGAAGAGGTAGAATACATGAAAAACGAAATACATGTGATGACGAGCACATGGATGAAAAAACCATTTACATGATACAAAATTCATGCTTCATTGATTCACATAAACATACGTTTGTGAAAAAAACCATGTAATATTGTCAATGATGAATATCGGTAGAAATCGACTGCGGGTGTGCGGATGTGGTAGTAGATGTGAATGAAAAGGTGAACTACAACCGCAATCATATCCACACCAACTCTTATGCCCAATCAACGATGTAAAGCTTTAATTAAAAGTCTTCAACTAGACTCAATAATAATAAATAAATAAATAAATAATATTACTAATAATAAATAAACCAATAAACAACAATATTAATAATAATAATACTGTATATATATATATATATATATATACTCATCTACTCATTATCTATCAATTCTTAACATAGTCAAAATATCACATTTATGCTGAAACCAACTCAATCCATACCCAATAAGTATTTATAAAACTTCATTTATTATAAACTACTCACTAATAAATTCATCAAGCTTACATCTCACTCAACGACTAAAGACTCATCTTACACAATTTATTCTGTCCTAATGTGACATATTTTGGTGACCAAGACAAGTTCTTCGAACTTCATAATAATTCGAATTATTATATTTTTTGTCTCATTGTAATTGTGTTATCTTTCATATTTAATTGTAAATTTGTATATACACCACATTGTGTTTTCCTCTAGTCATTTTCTAATCGTGACAATTGATAATTGTCGAAAACTCGAAATGTAAATATAATTTTCCTTGAAAATTAATAATGTTTTTTTTGTTGCAGTACTTTACAGATTACAAAAAAATTCAGATGTCGATAATTTTTGCACTTAGTTTTGATGCCACGATATAGATTGCCTAAGGGGCTGCAGATGTTATTAACCTTCTTTCGAAAGGCTATAACCAGATGTTACAGTCACATGTTATATTCCTTGATTCATTTCGTTCTTATCAATATTTGTTTATTCAACTCGCATTCCTTGATGCTTTATTTTGTCTCCATATACGGCTCTCTCTTCTCTCTCGCTTGAGTCAAGTTAATATTAATAAAAAACGAACATTAAGAAGGAAAAAGGAATCTTCTAATGTCTGATGTGTGCCCATGCATTATCTAATTTACTGACGTGTAAAACACATATTAGTTTTGGGCAGCATGACTTTTTCTCAAAGTCATGACTGATTGATTGATGTTTTTTCCTATTAAATAGGAAAAATAACACCTGATTTTATATTGAATCGATATCGATCTCACATCAATCGTAATGACGACATGAGCGGCTTGTTCCTACTTCCTATTGACTGACGATATATATACAGGTATCTTGCGTGTTTAGTGCATTCATTTATTCGATTGAATCTATTGATTAGAGAATGCGAAACAAGTAAGATACTGAATGTAGAACTAATGTGAAAGTACTGCAATTCGCATATTCTATAGTCCATCTACATCGAACATGGTTACTGTCATGTTAGAGTCGGAATTGGAGTTGGAGTCAAAGTCACCATCCGCTCCTATAGAAACGACAACTCAGCTATCCAACCAATTGTCCTGTGAAGCAAAATGCAAGTTTAACAATCGTACTAAAACCGTTTTTTCTTCTATTATACGAGCACTGTCATCCAGTGGTGTCAGTCCCTTAGACAAGTGAGTCTTCCACCTTTTCTAGTTAACCTATAGCGAATATTTGCTGGATAGTATGAACCAAAGATCGATGACTCGTCGTCAAACAGCTGAGATTCAACTTCAGGCGATACTTAATGACCCTCAAATCACTTGGCCTCTCCATTTGCATCGAACAAATGATTTTCATAACGGTGACAACATGCTTACCATTGAACAAGTATCTAAAATGCTCAACACACAACCTTACATCATCGAAAGACTCCTACAGACATTAAAAATCTCAGCTGGAGATGAAAGTGGTCCAACATTGAGTAATGCTGCTGTACAGAAAATTACACGTGTCCTGAATAGCACCATCGATGTTCGTGTTCTACTCCTTTTCTACATTATGGGTGAAAGTGATACTGATTATGTCAGTGCAGAAGGGCTAATACATTTCTTTACACAATATCTTATTAGGATTCCCACCTTTACCCAAGATCGATTGCAAGAAGTCTCTCCAGTCCTTTTGCAAAAGTTTCACTTGGACAAGGTAAAATATGTACAATGAGAAAGATGTTTTACCTAATTTCCACTTTTGTTTAGAAATCTCGTATTGATTTTGACGAATTCTATGAGATATTCTTGCAAGATCCAAATCTATGGGAATCGTTATCACAATTCACCGTCGATCCCAATTGGTTTGTCAATCGACCAGCGAAACCACTAGAATCGAATTCTGTTCTATCATGTTGCAGTAAATTTCGTTGCCTCAAGAAATCTTGCAAGGATGGCAAGAAAAAACTAAACAAAGACTATATCTGCGATAATTTATCACGCATCATTATTTGTATACTGTACATTCTTGTCAATGTGGCTCTGACAATCTACGTCTGTATCTATCGTGCGAAAATTCAGAAGGCCAATGTTTGTTTAGTCATTGCTCGGATCACCGGGATGTTATTGAATTTCAACTGTGCATTGATCATCATTCTCATGCTGAAACAGACTATTTTGATCGTTCGCAGCATTGGAATCATACGAAAATATATACCAATAGATGATCATATCGATTTTCACAAAGGAATAGGACGTTTCATCGCTGTCTTGGCTATTGTGCATACTGTTGGGCACGTTGGTGACTTTGCACTTTTGGCCAGAAGCGAAGTAGAACCAAGTAAGAAAGATTCTTATTTAATTTTGCCAGTGATCAGTGGCTTCGTATTCCATTTCAACATAATGTATGAACGCAATTCTGAGTTCGCCCCTTTTTTTTCTTTAGAATATACGTTGTGGGAATATGTGGTAAGATTAGATGAATGCTTAAATAAAATATTGTGGAACTCACATATATTTTCGAACAAAATAATGAGTGTGAGTTTTAATTCGATTTTTTTGCGGCTTCTCTCTTCCTTTCGATTACAGACTTGAACTATCGAGAACAATAGACATCAGACTTTCTAGACTTTGTTGGCAAAATTAATCAATCTACAATTTTGAAAAATAATAAATATCATTGTTCATAAGTTGATTATGATATGTAACAGTACTTTGAGATCTGCTGTAGATGTCATGTATATGTAAAACAAACTTATTCGTCATTTAATTCTATGATAATAGTAATAATGTTAAATTAAGAAAAATGAATTTAAAAAAAAACGAAAAAAAAACGGACAAATATGACAACAATGCAAAAAATTGGGCGCCTGTAAGAAAACTAAAAAAAAGTCTGTTTGAAATGCAGAAATTAGAGAGATCTTTACTTTTGTGATCGATTATCATGCAAAACAACTAGTCTAGGAGCGACTTTTCACTTTACATATTTTTTTGTTAGTTCGATGAGGCTAGAAAACATATGTGAGTTTCACATTTCAGCCATAAAGGTGTTGCATTAACAAGCTTTTTAACAAATTCACTTCAGTTTACCATGCGACCTGGTATCGGTTGGGTTGGATATTTTGCCTCGTTAAGTGGTGTCATTCTTTGTGCAATCCTTGCTGTAATGATCATAGGCTCTATGCAATGGATTCGACGAGGTGGTCACTTCCAAGTAAGACTCTTTGATCTTCATCTTTTTCACTTGACATCTATATTTTTACGCACAGATCTTCTATTGGACTCATTTACTGTATTGGTCATTCTTCGTCTTTCTTATCGTTCACGCGGAAAACACTTGGGTAAGTCGATGATTTAATTTAATATTCTTCTATTAAAGTCTATGTTGCAAATCGATCATTGTAGAAATTTATCATTGGTCCATTATCGATTTTTGTACTCGAAAAGCTCTATTCCATTCTAACACGTTATTCGTCTTATTCAGGTCGAACCTACATAGAGTCAGCCACTATCGAGCCATCTGATGTGATCAGTTTAAAAATACACCGACCGAGAACTTTCAGGTAGGTCCATCGTTCTTCTCCATATAAACATTTTTCTGCTTTCGATCGATATTAACTAATTTCAATTAAAGATTTCGACCAGGTGACTATATCAGCATTAACTTGCCTCATATAGCTCTTTATGAGTTTCACCCATTTACGATCAGTAGTAACCCAGAAGAGACAAACTACATCACAGTACATATTAAAGCAACTGGTAACTGGACGAAACGCGTTTATCAACACTTCAAGCAGATGTCCGAAAGTGATCAGAGCGAAAGTCATATTAAAGTCTACCGTGCCGATCTTGATCCTGCTCGAGCTATGACTGAAAATATGCGTGACAGAGAGACTCAATTTACAGATGCCAATAGTGACACAGAAAATGAGAACGGTCTGAGAAGTATCTCAACGCCACGGCCAATCCAACGAGAACCGGTGGTAATCAATGGTCCTTATTCCTCATGTGCTCGATATGTCTTTGATTGCAAACACGCAATATTGATTGGCGGTGGTATTGGGATCACACCCTATGCTTCGATACTCTCGAGTCTAATGGCTCAATTTCGTGCCTCGCGTACCATCTGCAAACAATGCCAATGTGTCAATTACAATCATAAAAGTCTAGTGGAGAATCGTCGCTTGAACAAAGTTGATTTCATCTGGATCAATCGAGATGAGAAGAGCTTTGAATGGTTTCTTAATCTTCTTCGTCAGTTTGAAGCAGAACAAAATGCCTATTTAGACTCTAATCCCAATGAACATCGCTTTCTCGATATTCATCTCTTCTTTACTGATATCAAACATGATGAGAATATTGGCAATGTTCCGTTGGATATCGTCACGAAAATTTGGACTCAAGCAGTGGGAAGAGATATTTTCACCAGTCTTAAAACGAAGACTCATATCGGTAGACCAAATTGGCAAGACTTGTTCAATAGGCTCACCTTGGGCGAAAATGTTTCGACTGGTAATGATGTGAATGTGTTTTTCTGTGGCCCACCGACAATGGCCGTCAGTGTTCGCGAATATTGTGACAAATTTGGATTCCGTTTTTTCAAAGAAGAGTTTTGATTTCCATCTTTCTGGGCCAAGCAGTATTTATAGGTTTAATGAACAATTTATTAGAATGAAAATCATTTTTCAACCATTATTCTTCAGATCCCTGTTTTTGTTCAAAAAATCAAACAGAAAAATCTGAACTTCATGACAGAAGAAAAACAACATTGTTAGATGGTGATATATATCCTTCGCTCCACTATCTTTGTTGTTCTTTTTTTCCTATATTTATATATTATTATAACATTTCGATTATTTCATTCCCTCTCTTCGTTGAAATTTTAGTTTTTTTTCTCTTTTTTATGTGTTCAGGATGATCCATAAGTTACCCGACACTGTTTTTATTGTGAATAAACTTTGATAGGAGCCAGATAAAGAGCTGAAGTTTTCATTGTACAAAAAAGGTTGTATCACTGAATAGTTTCACAAATTGTTTAACATGTCCATTGGTCATAAAATAATCATTCAGTAAGCTTCGGTAAAACAATGATAATTCTGTGAAAATGATATAGGATAGGGTGAATCAAAATTCACGGAACAGTCTTTACTTGCAAATAACTATTGCTCATTTTCTCTTGATAAATGTTTTTCGTATTTTTTTTTTGTTCTGGTGGTCATCGGTCACGTGTCTCTAGTCGAAGCGTCGTCGCTTCTTATTCGTGTACTCCTTTAGCATGTGCGGTCCTTTTTGTTTTTCATCATTTTTCTCTGTGCCTGTCTCCTATGTCGATACATTCCTCTCGATGAATATGAAACCTTGACAAATGGAAAGATATGAAAGAGAGAGGAATGCTGAGAAGAGGAAATGGGATAGGCATATTTTTGTTGTTACTTTGTTTTTTTTTGTTCTTTTCTACACGAGTGTGTGTTGGTTGTATTTGCTGAAGCGAATAAAGCTAATACTCTTATTTTGTTTTTTTCTCTTTTCCGGTTCACATTTTACGTGTCATCTTCAGTTATGTCTAGTAATGATGGAAAGTGCTGGACAGAGGTTCACTACAGAATAACGAGTATTTGTGGTAACAAATTTTTATTAAACAAACAACAAGAATGAGATGTATCGTCGTTTTGATGAACAATTCACTCGTCAAATCAGACGTGAAACTGTTGCAGATATTGTTGATCAGTTTGAAGAAAATGGTACAGTTAATGATAAGAAGCGACCAGGGTGACTAAATATGGTTAGAACAGCAGCAAACCAAGCTGGTGTTGAGTCTGCTTTTACAAACGATCCCAAAACATCAACAGGATGTGTTGCATCTGAGCTCGGCATTTCAAAAACATCGAGTCTTCGTATGTTATCTGAACTGCGAATACGCCCATGCCTTTCTCGCTTAGTGTTACTTTACTTCAATAATACTATTTTGAAGATTTATTTCAGAGATTACAACAAATAAGTACTAGCATTTGTTGTCCTCTCATTAAATTTAAAGAAAAAACTATTGAAAACAAAATTGTACGACCAATCTCTTCGTATTCAGTCAAAACATACTGTTGATCGGGAAGTTGTCAAAAATCTCTAGACATGAATATTATCGAATGATGAAATCGATTGTCTTGCTAATGGTCTCGACTATGGCTTAATGCCAAAACGTTTTAATCAGATAAGTGCTGTAGGAAACGTTGAACACTTTTTCCATCGCGTCATTGATATATTTTAACATCATAAAAAGTTTTTCGAAGACTTGAAAGGTAAGGATAAAGTCATATTGAATGATATTCGTATTCTCAACACCAAAGAGATAACTTTGACCAGCAATCTTAGTAATTTAACTAACACTTTCCAACATCAAGTTAATCAACACGGGCAAAAACAATATCTGATCCGTGGTGAACAAAGGCAATATTATCAACTGCTGAAATCAGTAAAATATGACAAATCGATTATTGTTACTCGTCCTGATAAAGGTCGATGAATTGTTTTAATGAACAAAAGTGATTATTTTTCAAAAATGCATGTGATCCTTAATGATTGAACCAACTTTAGTTGCCTCTTTATTGATCTTAACATCAAAACATAGCGTAGTTTGACAAATTTTTTCAACAGATCAAAGACAAATGATCATATTTTGGAAGAATTTTGAAATATGGTCAAATCGACTGGATCGAACCCTGAGCGACTCTATGAATTGTGCATTATACACGAGAACAGAATGCCTCTTCGGCGTGTTCTTTCATCTATCGGCACGTACAATTATAGTCTTACTAAAGCTCGTAAACAAATACTGTCAAGCATTATACAAAACGAGGTGGTCATTAAGGATACGTTTGCTTTTATTAATGCATTAAGATCATCACCAAAATCTGCTTCAAAATACAAGATGGTATCATCTGATACTTCAAGTCTTCATATAAATATACCTCTTAAAGAAATAATAGGAATTATTTTGAACCATTTATATCACAATGAAGCACTTCCACCATCAATGAACAGAGTAGACATGAAGAAACTGTTAGAATTTGCAACACAAAATTCTCATTTTCACTTCAATGGTAAAGTTTATGATCAAGCAGATGGAGTTTCTATGGGATCGTCTTTGGTTTTCCCTCTTGCTGAGATTTTTCTCTAAGACTTTGAAAAGAAACATCTACCATTATGTGACGTTATGGGCATCGGTTATTGAAAACGTTATGTGAATGATACTATTGCGTTACTTGATCGAACGGTCTCTCCAGATGATATTTGTGCCCCATTATCACAATGTCATCCATCTTTAAAATTTACCGTTGAAAAAGGAAACCCCAAAACAAATTCTATTGCATTTTTTGATGTTCTTATTTGACGATAGCTGGCATCGGATTTTAAATTCAAGTTCATCGAAAAGACATTTTTTTCTGGTCTGATAACAACCCAGGTGATTCGATCCGACTGTCGGATTACGTCGGATTATATCGGATTATATCGGAAAAATTACCGGATTTTAACGGATCCGACGGGAACTCGTCGGAAGTTGTCGGCGTCCTAGCCACAGGATTCCGACAGGAGGTTCCGGATGTCGGAATAATCAGGATCCTGCGAAATCCCTGAAACTCCGACACTTTCCGACATCCAGAACCACTTGTCGGAATCCTGTGGTTAGGATTCCGACAAATTCCGGCGAATTTCTATCGGATTCGACAGGGTGAATTCGACCTGGGAAAGTGGGACACCTTTGCACTCAAATCTTACAAATTTAATGCAATGTCATCCATGGTTTATAGAGCAATGAAAATTTGTTCAACTTATGAAGCTCTCCATGATGAATATGAATTTATTCGTGAGGTATCATTAAAGAACGGATATCCGATTGCCTTTGGTGAATCTGTGATTCGAAAGCAACTTAATTTAGTATATGCACCCCATGCAATTATATCAACAACACCAGGAACGGATATCATAGTGTTGCAAGTACCATATTATGGGAAAGCAAGTCAAATATCTGGTAACCGTCTTACGGCGGTAGTCGCTAAACAATACTCATCAGAACAGGTACGAGTTGTTTATGATGTAACAGCCTGAATCGGTCAACATTTTACTATCAAAGATGCAATATCAACTGAATTAAAATCAGGTGTTGTTTACAAGGCAGCTTGTTCTTTATGCAATGAAAAATATATAATGAAGACCTACCGCCATTTAAAAACACGAATAAATGAACATTTATCAGATCAGAAAAAAGTCATGTCTCTACTGATCCAACCACCAGAAACTTTATTAAATAAAAATTAGCCACCACATAAAACAACTAATGGTCATATTTCTCATATGAAAACCCGAACACAAACACAAATGTCTCAACAGTTATCAAATCAAAGAAAATTGTTACCTAAACCTTCGATATTATCATCAAATAATAAGAAACAAAAAAATCTATCTAATAGAAATAAAACACAAAAGAAGGTTTGTATAAACAGGTTAGAAACTAAAAGAAATTAAAACAACTAAACAAAAACTTGAAGTAGATGATATCGATGATATTTTATCAAATACGATTCCAGTAGATGTCAAGAAACCCGATTCAGGTCCTCTATCAGTCTTATCAAAACATTATGTATATATTAATCATGTGCTTACTGATAAATACTATTAACAGATCATCATCAATATCGGCTTTTGATTAAAAAAAGTTTACTGATAACACAGAGAAGTGCAAAACTAAATGGAACCGATCAGTCATTGCCATTATATATTTACATTGATGGTCTGGAAAAACTAAGATGGCAATATCGAATACAAGCAATCACACTTCCAATAACAGTATAATCACACGCATGAATAATCCACACTCAAATATAGCAAAGCTAAATTCTCGTATTTTAGATGTTCTCCAAAACCATAATCCAACAACACCCAATACGTAATACATGAAGATTCAATAACCAAATCATGCAAAGTTCATTAGAATCTCATCCATCTAATAAACATACCATTCACTCTTGAAATTTAGACCCAACAACAGCGCAGAAAAAACTGTTCGTCCCTCTGTCATCTTTTTAGACATGTACCATTTTCCATAACACATGCTCAATCATATACACACTCCATCCAAAGTGAATAGACAAATGGAAACTTCTAACGTACTAAAAACGAAGCAAGGTTTTCGCGTGAGAAGTAAGATAAATCCTTCAAAAAACTTTTTCACTTTCTGTGACAGAAATAACAATCAATTTAGAATTACATATTTAAATTGAAAGTCTTCCTTAGAGATTTCTACTAGTTGACCACGACACAATGAAAATATTAATTACCTTTTCCTACAAGCAGCCCGCTCTTGAATTACATATGGCATAATTATGTTTTGTTATGCAATGCCATCCATGTATGCTTACGACAACATTCATTAGATAACTATTATTATTTTTAGTTCATGCGTGATAAAAAAATACTATATGTTGCTCCAAACATATGATATGTCCATTCAAGACACCTCTGATTTATCACATTATTTGTTAAGCTATTATTATTTATATATTAAATCAAACATATTTTATTAATTATTAAACAGATTGATAATGATTGTTTAAGATGAAAAATTCCCATACATTTGTTAAAACAGAAAAAATACATCATTAAAAACTACACTACCTAAAATTTGTATTCCTTACTTGACAACAAGAAAAGAGATTTTAAGGGCACTTTGTAGCATAAAATGTTGCTAAGAAGTTACTGTATGAAGATAACAAAGTCGAGGGCATGGGTGTGAATGAAGACAACAATTCCAAGGACACTCACATCCACAAACTTATCAGAAATGATTTTCGAAACATGTTATTTGTGGAACAAAAATAAAATACAATGAACAAGTGTCGAGTTAATTTCAGGCCCATGAACGACTTACCGAAGAAGTGTAAGTGTTGGTGCTCATCATCACATGGTCAACACCTATCTATATAGGTTTAAAGAGCAGGTATTGCAGTACAAAATCGGCAGTCAAAAAAACAATTTAATATGAGTTCAATGAAACAGCAGGTAAATCTTTTACTGAAATCGAAAAAAATGATTTTGGTTCTGTGCGTATCTCACAGTCTGTGGGTTTGCTATTTCTGAGAAATACTTCAAAGTTCACTGGTAAACATGCTTGAAACAAAAAAGACGAGTCTACGATAAAGTTTGCGTAGAAGTATGTAGTTTTTATTCGGCAGACACTCGTGCTTCAATTGGAAAATTTATTCATTTGAGCAATACTAGTTTCTATTCTTGACAGCAGCAGAAATGATGTCAGCCAGTCTCAAAACAACAATTGGTGATCCCAAGGTTGCCGACTGATCTTTTTTCATCATCCATAATGCGAAATTATCAGCTAAAATCTCTTCAGGATGTATGATATAAGTTGTATTGTATCCGATTTGATGAAAAAAATTACTAGCTTCTGCGTATGATAGATATTGTAATGGTTCTAATGGTTCGTATGTGTTTTCGTCTAAGATTAAAGTTGTTGCCACTAGATAATCAAAGAAATTGGTGGAAAATTGGGGATCAAAAGCTTGAGACGCATGTAAAATTGGTGTACATTTGTATATTTTCCTGTTTTGATCTCCAACCTTTTCCAGTTGAATATAATATTTCAGAACAAAAGGTGCATCTGGATTAGTCATTTTTATCTTTTGTAAACTGACTGGAAATTCGATTGACTTCTCGACCGGTATTTTATTGTATCCAATACTTGCATATAATTCATCACGTATCGTTAAATTGATATGCCATTTACTCCATATATGAAATAATTCGTGAACAAATATTTTACATATATCTCTACCAAGAACAATTCTTAGTGGCATTACAATAACATTTTCATTACGACAATATGCGGCATTATTTTCATCTTTTCCATTTGTTAACACAACATAAATTTGTGGTGGATAGGTTAATAAATTTAGTTGTTCTACGCAAGTTGTATTGATAAATTCAATGCATGATGCCATTGCCTGGCTTGATTCTTCGTCCCAAGCTAAGATTTGTTCTGCAATAAAGTTGAAATAATCTTGCATTGTTGGTGAAGACATATTTACACGGGACTCTAAATCAAACTGACTAAAATTAGCAATGTAATCATCGGTTTTTTGTAATTCGTCGATAGCTTGTTGACCTGATATTAATTCAATGATGGATGAGTTTGCATTTTTCAATACAAATTTTTTGTTGGCAGAACTGTATGATGCTGATGAAACACTACTAGCACTCATGTTAAAAGTGCAAAAAAATTATCTAAAATCAAACTAGATAACTTAGTTCAAGTATCTAAATAAAATGAAAATACTGGAGTCAATTCTTGCAGGAATAATGCTAACAGTCTATGTTGAATGAAATTAGTGCTATTGATGCCAATCAAAAACATGGCTCATTCACGATGCTTCTATCATTCTCAGTTTTTCAACAACAAGATTTGCGCATTTTATATTTCTCTTGCTGTCATCAAAAAGTTGTAACATGGAGCACTAAAGGTCATAGTCTGCAACTTACAGAACAAGGAGATTCTTCACACTAATATCAATTTCAGAGTTCAATGATCATAGGCAGTTTTTGAATAATCTTAAAACAGAAAGAGAGAAGTAACTTGAATTTTTCAGATTATCTACAAGTGACATTGCTCTATCCTTTGACGAACTCGATGAAGAATTTCAGTCGCTTTTCTTCATAGATATGTCATTAGTTGTGAAGATGAGCTTAATTCACTGTAGAAACAACAGGTTTTTTCATCTATAATATAATGAGCAAATAGCCTACGGTGTACGGGAGGGTATGAGTGGACTTTCTCTTCATTCACTCACACCCTATGTTGTTTCGAAAGCTGATAAAGCTCATCTTCAAAACTTATGACATATCCGTGAAGAAAAGGTACTGAAATTTTTCATTGTGTTTGTCAAGAGATAGAGTAATGTTACTAATAGATAGTACGAAACACGCAAGTTACTTCTTTCTTTCTGTTTTAAGGTTATTCGAAAACTGCCTACGGTCATTTAACTCTGAAATGGACATAAATAAGAGTAAACCAATGAGATAGTTTAGATAAAGAGAAAATAGAAAAGAACGGAAAAAATGTTCCAGTAAGATTCCGGATATAAGTACATATATTGATAATTGGAGATAGAAAGGTGATGATAAAAATAGAAATTGTGTCTAGATAAAAAATTACTTCGTATAAAATCTTCGATTATTCGTTCATTAATTGTATATACCTGGTTCTTAAATTATCACTTTGAAGAAATTGTCAAATAGAACTTGAGAATAACATAACAACAAGAACCTACAGTTAGACTGAAACGTTGATCTAAGAGCTAGCAATGCATTTCTTTGTGTAAAATTACAAGTCAATATAAATATGTATGTCAGTTGATCATTTTACATATATGCGGGTGAAGTAGTCGGCATATACACACATAACTGCACTTCATGTATATCACTGGCCTTTCTTTCGAAGTAATATAAGTGTTAAAGGAAAAACTAGAATGATGAAATATATTAAACATGTTCAATGATAGACTCTATACGTTTAAATGCTTATTCAACTTCATTCAAATTAGAAGTCTAATTTTATTTACATGATTTTAAAATGTGATTGGAATTATGATTTAACTCTAATATAGAGAAAATTTAGCTTCTAGTGTGTGCTTTAGAATATCTCTCGCTGTTCACGAGTTAGAATAAAACAGTACTGACCAAGTTACCTATGATGCGCTGCACATTTGATGGACAAAAAGTGAAGTACAATGCCTTTAGAAAAAGACTGGTATTTTTAAATACACGCTCTCAATTTTTAAGGAAATACTTTAAACTATCGGGCGTTCCAAAAGTTCCAATGCATTGAACCTCATCGATTTATTTTCTTTTTTTGCATAATAAGCAAATACACCAAGTTTTTATTCCTACAAACAACCTTCAAAAACACTACTGAAAGCTATAAGATTTTTAACTGAAATACAAAAAATTTACTCTGTCTTCTCTTTTCAGAAAAAGCATTGCGTTGCATTTCTTTTTTAACTACTTCGAGGTGTTGAATGATTCAAATCTTCAAATTGTCCAATACTTAAATGTTCTTTTAAGAAAATTTTATTTCGGTATATCTTTATAAAAACCGAAATAAATTGTTTTAAATCAAAATCTAATCAATTAAAACGCACATCACCTACAAGTTTCACTGCAGAGAGACAACATGCTAAATATTTTGAATTTTGTTTAAATGCCTTAGCTTTCAACAATGCTTTTGAAGTTCTAGTGTAAATTTTCAACGATACCCTTGACTGCGGTGTAAAATATGAACGCTCCATAAACAAAGACTGCAGTAAATCATGTAATTTTTAGAAACTATAAACGTATTTAAATCAACTTAAAACTCTAGAAAATAGTCTCGGTGCTCATCAAATGATCAAAATGATTCATGTACGAATCGAAATGCATCCTATTACTCATTGTACCATTTTTCAACAAACATATTGTATTTTAATAGTCGAAATCGTTTAGTTACGGAAAATAAATGCATTTTAATGGCTAATCATTCATAATTCATTTGCTTGGACAGAGTTGTGATTAGCTAATTATGAGAGCATGAAAGCATTTTTCAATAGTTTATTTGGAATTTGATAAGAGTATATTGAAATTATCATGATCATCGACCTAAAATGCTTACCAATGCTACACATAAAAATAAGATCTCAGAAAAAACCGATATTCACTTGTACTTGATTGTTCATACCAAGCTGCTATAAATGCTGTGTGTTGCATTGTCAATAAATAGGTATAATGAAAGAATGACTGATAGTTTTGCCGATGAAAATAGTCATTTCGATTCTGTGGTGCAATAAGCCTTCCTTTCTTTTATATACGTTACCTTATTTCTTTTTTTTTTTGTTGTTATGTAAAGGCTTCGCCACATACCTCAAAAAAAACTGTAATACAGAGAACGAAAGAAAAAAAACATAAACCTCAAAAGCATGCAGCAGTATACAGAAAGGGTATGAGTATGATTTTTAGACCCTTTTCTCTTTATTTCTATTTCACAAAAACAGCAAGAAAAGCAAAAAAATCTTATGTGTATGTGCATGTATGTATGACCCTCTTTTCATTCCCATATCTTTCCTTATAGCACAACGGAGAAATATCATAAGAGAAAGACGAAGAATGTTGATAAAGATGATGTCATTGTGCTATAAAAGAAGAGAGAATTGTTCTCATGGTAGGAGTGATCTCCCATGACACAGTTGTGATACTGTTTTATGAATAGGCACTCCAGAATATATCCACACATTCTCCTTTAACCCCTTTTTGGAATAAGCTAATCGAATAAAATCAAAGAAATTTATCCATGCATACTTTATAGGAATTATTGTCTCTTTTTGAACATGATCTCTGATTGCTTTTGAATCATAGAAAGAAGAAGCTTAAATCTTTTCAAAAAAAAAGACATGATAGTGACTAGACGTTCTGGTATTTAATAAGTAATCCGTACGAACTCAGCTGTTGTAACTGTACCAACAGAATAGTTAGTATTATTTTCTCTTCTGTAAATCTAATTATACATGAGATTTCCACACTCATCAATCTCTCTGCTCTTGATATCTGTATGAACCTGCGCCATTTATTAGGCTTATTGTTAATATAAGGGTATTAAAAATTCGTGGATGGGAGAAATGAGAATAACAACATCCACACCTACACCCATCCGTCTCATAAGAACGACAAATAAGTCGAAAATTTTCAGCTGTAATATTACGATTTTCTGGAGTTTGAAGTCGACCGTTTTTGTATTCCTGAATTTTTTTATGATATGCTAAACATATCTGATAATCGTTAGCAATATTGTTTACTTGAAGTATGTCATATGGTGATGACGCTACCTCTACCATACCTTTATATTCATTTTTGCAAAATGTTCCACGCAAGATGGAAAAGTGTCACTTATAAAAAAAAAAATGAAATAGTCTGACGAAAACTTGTCTTACTTTGCATTATTTAACTTGTCTTTTTTTTCTGTTTCTATTACTTCCTGGGAATAATTTCATTGATTAGTCACAATGTGAATTTCTATGGGAAAGCTACTTCAACATTGTAAGTATTTTTCGACCGGCTTCAAAACATGACAACTTGCACAAGTTTTTGTGCCAGTTATTGCTATATGGATGAGGCATGGATGTGAATGAGCGTGATGGTGGGGTGTAGATCTGCGTGTAGATGTAGCTGTTGTGTTTGTACGAAAAGGATGTGGGTGTTGGAGTTGGTAACTAGAACAGGACATTCACATCCAGACTCACAGCTCGTATTCACACCCATATCGTCACGTGCACAAGCATCTACACACCCACATACACGCCTGTCACTCTGGTACTAACTGCTATAGATAAAAAAAAACAAAAAGACAATAAAAGCAGACAAAAACTTGTTTATACCTCCGAACAAATCAGATCATTACATAGTCACAAGAAAATATATCTGGCATATTTGTATTTGTCGCTTGAACATAGTCGACAGGCAGTGCCGATTAATCAGAATTAAGATAGGCTTTCACAATATGACTAGCAACATTAATGCAAGAGAAAGATTTGCTTCAAAAGATCATTTTCGGCTGAACTAAATAAATGTTTGCAGAAACTTACAAATTGTCGTGAAAAACGCGCTTTTTTACAAATCTGAAACACACAAATGAGAGAGAACTTTTGAAGCTCTCGCATATGAATAGTTCAATTTATCCAAATCTGTCCGCATTTCGCATAGTTCGACATGAGAATTCATAAATGTAAGAGAATTGCTCGTTGTCTCGAAAAACTGCGAATGTTGTATGTTAACATTATTATTTAAATGATTTTGTTTTTCACTTTCACTCTTATCACTCCCATTTGAATAAGATTTTGACATAGATTGATTACTGAATTTTTTGCAAGAAAAAACTTTGTTCGAAACTATGAAAAGAGTGAAAAAGCCATCGAGAGAATATTGCTATCGCCATTTATTTTGGACCAATCGTTAGTAAGAACATATTTCATAACTCAAAACTCTGCATGCGATCCATATTGATAACATTACTTTGAATTCCTGCTATTCGAAGAGTTGAGTCTCCATCAAAAAGAGTACTCAAATCACCCAGGGTACTAAGACGAAGTTTTCCCCACTCTTCAATTACAAATCTACTGATCAGCACCTCTTGCCCTTGTTTTGCACGCATCACCTGTTCAGAAAGATGGGAATACACCTG